ATGAGGAAGGAAACCCCCATTTCTTCCCCAGACCACCTCTTGCTCCTGGATATGGCTGAAAATAGGGAATGCCTAGGGAAATCCATTGTGACTTCCCACAGAATTCCGTGCAGAATGTCCCACCCTCTGGGAAGAGATTCACACTTACTGGGGTTTCTTAGTAAGAACAGAGTTGTTATTTTTTTCAGCAGTCACTTCCTTTTTCTATCCAAAGGATAAACTACAGAAACTGGAGAGAATTTTCTCTCAAGAGGTGTGCTCTCCCTTCAGTATCTGTATCCACAGGGCTCTCACCGACACTCATTTTTACCCGAAGTCTACTCCGAGTGAATATTGAACAGTCCTGAGAACTGGTCTTTTCTCTTTAGAACAGGGCAATCTGAGTCCACAAAAATGTTTCTATGGACGTTATCCTGGAGAGGCTGTTGAGGAGCTAGAGACAGCACAAAGCCAGATGTGGCCCTGAAAAGTATTCATACTATTACCTTCTCAATGGAAGAATCTGTCACAGCTAAATTGGGATAAAAATTCTGCAAAGCTGTACTTGGAGATCTTTATTCCCTTAGGGTGGGAATTGCTGGCAAAGGGGACCACTTTTTCCATTATCTTAAAAATACTGTTACACATCTAACCTCAGATGATGAAAACAATAATAAAACCAAATCACACATTGCCTTCTCATTCCTTCTGGTCTATTTTTACATGTTTCTTCTTGTTATGGCAAGGACACTACTTACTCTTACTCTAACTCAGATGTGTCAAAGTAACTTCCAGATTTTTTATGCTTTCCAGAGAAATTCTTAACCTGTAACTTGGAAAAGACAGCTTCTCACCAACAAGTTCCCTCGAAACATTTACGACACCTCCACTCATTATTCCCAAATCCTTGCTTAATGCAGAAACTTGCCTTCACTACATAAACAGTTTGCATACAGACAGAGTTAGATGTCACCTTGGAAGTGCTGGATTTTCCTTCTGTACCCATTGCTGCAACACTCCCTCATTTTACCTTTAGCCAAAGCCTAACCTGAGTGACTACAGAATGATTTCATGGGAGTCTCGCTGGACCTTAAGGATGTGAGATGGCTGTTTCTAAAGAGGATGAGGCACGTTTGTTGTCGCAATCCATTTTACATCTACAAAATCCTTTCCCTGGGAAGCTAGAGGAAGACAACTGTATGCAACAGGAATGCACTAAGTTGAACCAGCCCAGAAGGACGTTCCCAGTAACATTTATCCCAAGTCAAAACAGTAATCAATAATATTAAGAGAAATGGAAAAGGGGACGGACTGATAGTTAGGTAATTTGTATTTAACTGATTAGTTTGGAACATACTGTATGAACTCATTAAACTGCAGTACGGAACAGGAACCAATACAACTAAATGTAGCAGGAACAAAGTAACAAACAAGGATAAAATTATTCATATTAGTATAAGAATTGGCAAATTTCAGTCCCAGTTTAGGTCAACTGAAGTAGATTTACACCAGGAATCTCCTTGACTCCTTGCATGCTCCGTGAGAAAGCCATGTATTCTTTCCTAACGTCTTGGCATACAACAGTGTCATTCCTCAGACCCTGACAAAAATTTAACACTTGCAGAAAAGCAACATGTGGTATAAGACCTGGAAAAATTCAGATCAGCAACAAAATATATGGTATTGTTCAGTTAAAGTGATAAACTGCTTAAAGATAGATGTATGAAGGGAGATGTTGGAAAGACAAGTTCTTGGTATCGGTTGATCGGGAGAAGCTGGGGGGGGGCAGGGAAGATAAGCCCTAGTTCATCTTTTCTATAAATCCTCTCTAAGGGAGAAGCTGGGGGGGGGCAGGGAAGATGAGCCCTAGTTCATCTTTTCTATAAATCCTCCTGAGAGAAGCCACGTGCACCCCACAAGCACAGGGTGATTAACTCCATCATAAACAGAGAGCCTAATCCTTATTAAACACACAAAAGAGATCATTTAGGTCTGTGCTATCGCAGGTCGCCAGATCACGCATCCCTTTCACGTGCTGTTCAGGCACTCTGAAGTGCCTGCCTTCCTGCTCTCACTACTATTTAAGACTGTTTTACATTGATCATTAAAAGCTTTCTTACATTCAGGGTAGATATAATAACAGCCAGCAAACAGTTCTTCATTTTGTAGCAGCAGGTCTTGTAACTTAATGCTTTCTCCCATAGTACTGAGTTTTTTCGTATGTAAAACCACCATATCCCTTTTCAGATTCTATTAGGTTAAGCTACAGTTTTATGCTCTGACAGGATACGCACACTTCTTTCCCTGATCAATTTTTATAACCTTCTCTTTTTTATAGCTGTGATGAACCAGAGCTGTGCATGTACCCCAAGTTAGGTGAGCCCAAGATTTGTACATACAGTGCTGTTCATGCTTCCCTTTAGCATCCTGGAACTGTATTATTTTTTTTTTTTTTTTTTTTTTTTTTTTTTTTTTAAGTAAGACGAGTAACAGTGATCATTATTGAACAGACTATACCTGGAGTCTTTTTCATCTCTCTTCTCCAGCTAAGGAAGTGACGCTCCTGGCCTATAGCAAAAATTCTCATTAGTATTTTGTAACTGATTGAATATGCATTTTGCGCTGTTATTTAATCTTACTTTGCTAGTCATAGCAATCTTTTTTTTAAAAAAATCATATTCAAAACAGTGTACTGCAAATTGTTTCAAATTGGTCATCCACAAATCACACTAATGCAGCCCAAGTCTTTCTGCCAAAACCATTGACAGACATAGTAAATACAATACCAAGACCAATTCTTGTAAAGGTCGTCTTCAGAGGTCATCAAGTACTTGTAGTATTCACTACCAATCCAACAGCTCCCATTACAAAACACTTTCTCTTTAGCCAAGATCTTACCCATGCTGGAATATCTAGAGATTTCCTTTGTGGCTCCACATCAGATAGTTCCACAAAAAACATATGGATTGGATCTCCTGCATTTACTTAATCTAAAATACAGATGAGTCACAAATAATCATCAGCTTATTTCAACATCATCAATTCTTCCTTATTGGCCAGTTACCGTATGTCTATAACATACTTTGCAGAAGAGGGATGTACTTAGAGCTCTGCTTGCTACAGACATGAGCCTGTAGTTTCCTCATTTAATTGTTTTCCCTTTTAAATACTGGTACTACATTACCTAGTCTCTAATTACATAGTGACAGTCCTAAATTCACAGAATCTTTAAAGTATTTTCTGCCACACTTGTGCATTGTATACCCGTTTTCAGAATTCTGGATGATGATCAAGTCTCAGAACAGACTGCTTTGGATTTTGTTTACGTTCCAGATACAGTAATTTCAACATTTACATCCTTGGTCCGATCCCAAGTGTCTGCTGCAGGAGCAGGATTAGGAAAAGCTACCAACTTCTAAACAGCCACAGTTAAGGGAGGAAACACTCCCTTGGGTAGAAGTCTACCCAGAATTAGCAGTAAGTTTCACCATCTGGAGCTTGTCTCTGAAAGCTTGTCATTAACTTCACACAATTCTATCTTTAACAAGTATTAGCGAAACCAGTCTTAAGAGCATCCCTTGAAATATTCCATCTACAAAACCAGAAGCTCCTCCTCTCCAATATATCTTCCACAGTTAAACACATTGTTTTGTTTGCATCAATTTGCCCAGGAGAACTAGATTCCTGCCCTGGCATTTCCTGCCTTTGACAGAAGCTGTGCAAGAAGATAATGATGTTCTGAGTCAGCACAAAGCACACTGGCTGGCAACAGCGCAGAGAAGATGAGAGGAGTATTTGTCTTCAGAAGTACCTTTTTATTTTAGTGTTAAGTGCATTACCAAATTCAAGGGCTTTCTTCTGTGAAAGAGATCATTGCTAAACCTCACACGCTTTTAGGTTGCATCTACATCAGACTACACTACTGCATTGATGCCAAGCCCTAACTCAATTAGGAGTTTAAACATACCTTCATTTTTCATACATGCTTTTTGTCCAGGGCAAGTTTAATTACAACCCCTCCGGCAGAAGGGGTTGTAAAGCAGCACGAATGTCAAAACATCCCCAAACACTTAACCTGAGCTCTGCCCTGCCAATCTGCCTCTTTCAGAGAGTTAAGTGGAAGATCAATTACAGACAGTTACAATTATGCCAGTTACGAGACATAATTTCAGATGTGTCAGGGATAAGCACACTGGTTGCCTGTACCAATTCCAGAAGACTGATCACCTCTAAGCCTGGCTGACCTGGAAGCCAGAAAGCCTTAGAAGCAGAGCAAGGTAGGTCAATTCACATTAACACCTACTGGAAGAAAAGAAAAGTTATCACAGATGTGCTGTTTTAATGCAAGTTTTGAAATAGTTCTGAATAGCTGAAAGAATCAAATCAGAGGCATCAAGCCTGGCTCCATATTAAAGGCTGCAAAGGATTCAGTTCCAGAACACACACTGACGGGAAAAAAATGCAGCACACAATCACCACCAAACAAAACCTACATACACATTTGCAGAATGATTTCTGAGGAAGTTCTGAGGACAGACTTCAGATCAAACAGCTATTGTTAAGAGAAACAAGATCTAATAATGTTTCAGATTCAAGGACTTGGTTATAACTGCACATGCAATTAATTCTGAACATTTTACGGAATTACTGCCCTTCATTTTTCTCAGCAGTGGTTTGTGCTAGCTGGGACTTGAAATGGATAGGAGTTTTCTGATCACTAGTTACTGAATCTCAGTTGACAGACAGTAACAGTTCTACAGAAGTAACAGTATTCAAATCCAACTGCAAGAACACATCCAACTAGTTTAAGTCATCCATGAACCCCTCTCCAAAAATAACATTATAGGTACAATACAGATACATTATTTTCAGCTACTGTAAAATGGCACAAGATGAAGTGATTCACTGGGATCTCCTCTGAATTGCTCATTTTTAATCACAACTGTCCAGGCACTGGTATATATCAATAATAAAAAAAATTAAAAGGTTAAAAATAGCATACAGTTTAGCACAGAAGGCAACGTTTGAATAGAAGCACATAATTTTAATTCGCTTTGAAGTTTAAAGCAATCCAAACAAAAAAGTTAACTATATAAATACAGAGTAAATGCACATAGTTTACAGCCAACTACATGTATGCAAGAATAATAGCAAACCTCACATGAGCACTGAAGTATTCTCAAACTGTCACTTGTGAGTGTTTAGCTATGACTCCAAGGGCATAATTATGTTCACATATGCAGGGTAGGCAGACTCTCAAATAGAAGAACTGAAAACTTACATAACTGAGTCTTAACAGACAAAGTTGAAAGAAGTAGTACATTTACCCAGGCACACTGCAGTGTTCAGCTTGTTTTCTGAATTTAAACAGTTTAAACAGGAAGCAACATTTATAAAGGCTCTCCAATCTTTTGTCTCTGGAAGCATTCTTTTAAAATGCTACAGTCTGAGGAATGTTACAAATGTCATTATAAGAACAAAAACAGAATAGCAGAAACTGTCATTAATAAACATCTCAATCAGAAAGGAAATATATGGAGTGCATTATGTAAACAGGGAACTAGATAGGTGCAATGTCAATGTACAAGTGGACAGGTTGATGTTTCAGTTACAATTAAAAGAACCAAAAAACTCCATAAATCCCTAGTGTAAACCTACTTAAAACAACACAGGCTAGCAGATCGGAAACTCAGACAGAAACAGCAGATATGTCAGTCGGTTTGAAGGCTGGGCTCAGCCCTCTGCAACACAAAACTTGCCTGTTTTCATACGGCGCTACAGGGACCAAACGGGTAATAGAGGGGCTGTGAAATGCAACTGCATTCACTGAAATCTGTTTTTTTTATGGCTTTCCAAACTCGGGCCACCCTTGCCACGTCCCCCCAACATGCCACGGGCACTCAGTGACAGCCAGTGCACCGTAAGGCACCGAGCTGGCCAGACCCTAGCAGAGGAGCCCCTTTTCCCTCCGATGAATGCATGCTCCAGTGCCATCTTTTGACTGCTTTGGGAAACCGCAGTCTCACAGTGTTTCCCAAATCTAACCGGTTGCCGAGTCAAAATTAACAGCTCGCAATAACATTTAAGTTTCGTCTAGGCAAGGGAAATATGAGGAAACCAATTAATTACTGAGAGTTTTTCAGACATCCAAGACCTTTGCCTCTAGCACAGAAAAGTATGACATAAATACACTACATTCAAATATAAATCAGGATGACCATCTAAGTTACAAGAAAGTTTAAATGCACTCCTTTCAGTTCTGTAGTTAAGGATATTACTGAATGTAGCATCTTCTTATTCCCTTTGAGTTTTTATAATAAATATCAAGAAAATTATATAAATAATTTAAAGATCTTTGGGAAATATTTCAGAGGTAACTTTGTATGTACTGGTAGTTTAAAAATAACAAAAAATCTCAAGAGACTTTGGGTTTATGTTTTGTTATGTAAAGCAAGCCAAAAAGAAGATCACCCCTGAAGTTTAAAACACTGCTTAAACACCCATTAAAAAGGTGGAATAATAAGCTGATTGTCTATTTTTAGCTGTTGTCTCCCATATTCAGTTGTCTTAGTTAAGATTTTCTACTTAGCAACTCCAGGGGGTCTGCTCTCACCCAGACAAGGCACACACACGGTACCCAGTGAATTAACGGGAGATGAACACGTAACCAAGGGAGAACATATCCAATAAACAGAGGAGAGTAACTCTCATGAAGCCTAGGCTAATCCAAATGTTAATTGTATTCCTGAACTCCACAGCTGAATAATGTCTTTGCCAATTTACATTTTGGCTATGGCTGAATAATCTGGATAGCCTGAAGAGTACATCCACTTTCTACAGAACAAAAATTACAGTAAGTAGCTATTCCTGCACTTAGTTATCTGAACAATGGCATCACAGCAAGACTTAGCTCAGAGTCATGAATACTCCAGACTTTTCCTAGAGAGATCACTAGAAAAAGCCCACTTTAGAACACACGTTTAAGCACTCCCCTCACTTCTTTAAAACAATCAAGTTCACCTTTGGTCACATCACAGACCATGCTATCTGTCTTTAAAAAGGTAAGAAAACATTTTCCAAGGAGAAGGACGTCAATACAGCCAAGCCTCCACGGCAAGGTTGCTGTACATACTATAGGTGGCTTTTAGAAGGATGAGCAATTAGTACAGAGAATTACATGAAGTACTCAAATACTCTGACACTGTGTGGAGAACATGACAATGGTCAAAATAAAGGAGAGCAAGTGAGAAAAACCCAGACTGATTGTTCTGTAAGCTTTGAGCTTTTACATACAGCCTACAGAACTACTGCAACAGAGATGCTATGGATCTAGAGCATAAAATGTTTTACCCTGCACAGCTTACACAGAAATCAAACCACATGCTTTGTTTAAAACCAAACTGCATGTTCTGAACACAGATTGACTACAGATAACCAGTAAGAGGAAGAAAAGTCACAAGCCATAAGAAGGCCACAAAGTGCATAAGGAGTCATTCATAAAATAAAGCCATTGCACACAACGCACAGTTTAAATGTACTGAAGTACCACACTGGAAGAGTTGATAGCACAGTTCTGTCCACACCAGTGTAGCAGCATTTATATGTAGAAAGCTATTGCCCCCAATTTATAATGATCATCTTCCTCATAAGGATCATGGATGCAGACTGAGAAGTACTCAAGGTGCAGATAAAAGATAAGATATCTGTTTGGAAAGCTGTACAAGTTCTTGTAACATTAAGCTTCTGATTTTGACACTCCAGCTGTATGGTTTTGGAAAACCCTGTAAATTATGGCAGAATAAACTAGCTAAGCCTCACTGCTGAATGCAAAGCATTGTTTTGCAATTGCCTTATAGAACAACAAAAACAATGCCTGAACATTCAGATAATTTGGAGGACAAGGTTATACTGTCAGCTGCAGTTCAGTACACAGGCTCAAGTTGGAAGAAGTGATACAGCAATTATCAAGGGGAATGCTTACAAGAAAAGTCTTAATTACAATTTTCTCCATTGTTCTACACAGAGGCTGTCTGCACTGAAAAGATCACAACTGTTTTCTGCTTTCTGGTCACCTTAGCCATGGTGATGTGTTCTCCCATATAGATACTGGTAATCCCAGTCAGGATTTGCCAGACATTTTAGGGTAATACAGCTTGTTCTTAGGTAGCATGAAACTATTTGAGTGAATCCTGTCTTCACAAATAGTAGGCTGGACTGGTTGAGATTTCTCATCACATTACGAATCCTTAAAAAGGCTATGAAGTAGCATTCAGCAGGTTCTTCCTTAGCTGTGTAAGTGACCTGACAGATTGGCAAGGAAAACTGATGATATAGGAGAACATTTCATAGGTGTCTCTTACTTAAAGAAGGAAAGTTCCAGAAAAGAAAAAGGATGATGTGGCAGAACTAAAAATCCACATACACCAATTTTAACAGATTGATAGCCTGAAGAGTTCAACAGTCAGATCCTCTCTCACTAACCTACAATACTGCTCAAACTTAAAAAAAACCAAAACACAAGTATCACCTTTTGTAGTGAAGAAATAACTCTGCTTGGGTCCCTGCGCCATATTTTGTCTTGAGGTAGCAACATGGAAAACTTTACACACTGACTACTACCTCAGTCTCTTTATGAATCTTCAGAGCAACTGAATGGAAGTTTTAGGTATGGAAAGGTATAAAAGTACTGTCTTCCCCATTCTTCCAACAGGTTACTGTGCAGTAAAACAGAACAAAAAGGATGTAGTTGAGAGCAATCACTAAGAGAAGTGAATAAGGCTGCCCAAGAATATATTTTACGCCCCCTCCCTCACCCATCAGGTCTCTGAAGATGACTGAATGGCCTTGTCTAGACTAACAGATGAAAAGAGAGTAACAATTTTGAATTAAGAGATGTATAAAGGCATTCCCTAAGGGGCAGTTCCCATTTGTCACATTGCCAAGAGACCATACAATAAGGCAGCAAAATTATTCAGTTGCCCACAATCAACCTTCTGTTTTGTCCATAGCTGCGTGTTCCTGATACAACTTTCCTTTTGCCCACCACATTGGCATTGACATTCAGTGGTCCACTCCAGTCTTTCCATCTTCCACCTTCTTCTAGGAAGCCTTGTCACACTGCTATCCATCGAGCAAGTAGACTACCACTTCATAGGTTGACATCATGATAGCCGTGTTTGGAATCTGTCTGATCAGATGTGTAGTTAAACCTCGGTAGAGGGATCCATACCCTTCTTCTCGCACAAGCAAAGATAGTGTCTGGAAGAAAGCTCTGTATTTTGTTCCCTCTTCTCTTAGTCTTGTTCGTACAACCTCTGTACAAAGAAAACCACATGTGGTTATGTTCACCACTTTTCAGACAAACAAAGAAGCAAACCAAGTATGTGTAAGGAAAACAAGTTAAATTTTTGGCAGTATTAGATATCTAACTAAGCAAGGAAAGTTCATTTGCTTAGTTAAAATCCAGACTGTTGTTTGGGCTTACGTTTTAGCTTGGAAGTTACCACTAACGAAGTACTCAATCCATTAACAAACAATGTATACGCAACTACTTTGCAGGAAAATTAAGTGCAACTGAAAATGAAACTAGTCTGGAAACAGGCTGTCAAGAACTTGCTGGCAAATTATGTGAAATTGCTGAGTATATAGAGATTGCAAATGAAAAAGGTACCTTCTCCTTAAGTACTTGGGCCATACCCTGGCAAATCCTTTGGAAAAAACAAACATCGCCTAAGAAGAGGCAATGCTAGATATCCACTTAAACATACTCCCGTTTCTGAATACTATACTCACGTGGACTCGTTGAATCTGACGAGAAAAACTTTAGACAAAGAAATAGTTCTTGAGCAAGTGAGCCAAAGTCTGCTACAAGTATCACTGAAAAGACTCCCTTTGATCAATTTGATTCAGGCTCTCAGCTGTACATGCCCCACTTACCATGGGGATACGCTATTGATGTTGCACAAGTTTTGGAAGTGGCAGCAGCCATCATCATTCCAACAAAGTCTGAAGCTTCTTTTGCCGATTCATCCTCATTGTCCATGGCAGAAGCAGTCTTATACTCCAGTAGTTTTCTCTTAATACTCTCATAAATAACAAAATGAATAACAGTCTCAGATATGCCTGCGTAGGATGCCGACATTCCTCTGTAAAAGCCTTTAATACCATCTGATCGATAAACTTTTCGGACACATTCAAAAGCACTCATTCGCTTTTCTCCACGATTCCTAGAAAGGAGAAAACAGGACAGACATCAAGCTAGTGCAACTTGAGACTGGAAAATAATTAAACAGTTCTGCCTGAGTGACAAGAGGACTTGGGAAACATCTTACACTGATGCTGAGGGGCTCCAGTTCAGATACATATAAGAACACGCAGAACTTAAAGTGAAAATCTCAAAGGCCTTCAGCACTAAACACAGGTGAAGCACTACACTGAATCCAAGGCAAAGTTCGTATGGTGACTAAAGAGTATCACGTGGACAAGCTGAACAGCTCTAGGCCTCCCCAAGTCTTACAGAATAAAGGACTAAACTGCTTGAAAACAGACTCCCAGATGTCAATGTCAGTGACTCATGAAAAAAAGTGACCGTTTTCTTCTGCATAATGGGAGTGGATTTCCCCTAAATTTTGCCTCAAATAAACAGCTCCATAGCATGTAATTACAGTGGCTAAGAGTTCGAACAGCAGGCCTCATAGCATCACAGCTATCAGCAAATAACTAGCACATCCAAAAGGAGCATACCAACCAATACAACACAGGTAGCTGTTATTTGATTCAACTAAGCCACTGCTGATGTCAAGGAAAATACTCATTAGACATGACTGTATCAAGCAGTATTTGGTAAATAAAAATCCTATTCCCATTTTTAGCTTGCTCACTGAATTGAGTCATGCATATTGAAATACTTCGCATACTGTACACAGCTATGCAAAACCATTACAACACTGCATAAAATATGCTTCATTGCAGCAGCGAGTACAGACACTTGAAGCATATGGATTCTGCCAGCAGAGGTCTCCCGAGCGAGCAAGTCAGAATAAAACAGCAAATAACCTTGTAAGAAGTTACGGTATCTCATATGGATACTGTCAAAGCAAGACAGACAGTGGCAGCAGCTATCATGTAAGTAGCATGAGGCACGACTCGATGGCAGAATTTAAGTCCTGATGGTTTGAACCTGCAATGTCAGAGAGCAATGAAACAAGGTACCAAGCACAATTAAGAGAAAGAGTAGGCACACATAGCTGCGAATCAGATCTTGAGTAAGCTAGGTGGCAGATGCTGCAGAGAACTGGGGCTGGCACTGATTTGCTGGCAGGCAAGAGGAAAAAGAGTCAAAGAACAACCGGTGAGAAGAGCAGCTGGACCTACAGCTGCAGCTCCAGGGGCACCCCGGTCCCCATACGTCCCTGGTACACCTGGACAGGTGCACTGACACAGACTGCTGTAACAGTTTGTTATTCTGATGCGCAAGATGCACAACATTGTCTTGAAGGCCAAAGCAATTTCACTTTGGAAACAGAACACATGCCTTGTCCAGCTCTTACTGGGATCAGAGGGATTTTTGAGAACTTCAACAGAAACAAGATCAGGCCAGGATAATCCCACAGGCCAAGTGTTTTTATGCCTCTGATAACAACCGAATTAGAAGAGCTGAGAATACAGCATGTGCTAGACTAGCCCACATAATTGCAGTGTCCCACACAAAGTTAGAAGATCCTTCTTCAGGTCCCCCACATGAACAATGTGCCTGATATAATGTACAGAAGTAATGTGCACAAGAAATCCATAATTTTCCCTAATTTCCTTAAAGCCCTATAGTTTAAGCAATTTAACTGATTAATCAGTAAAAACTAAGCAGAGGCACAAGATGCCATCAGGTTGCACATAGCACCAAAACCCCCTTGGAATTAGTCACAGAATTATCACTCCAATCATACGATGGCATCGCAAAAAAAAATCTCACGGTAAAACTAGTTCTGGGATATATTTACCGTGGTCACCTTGCAGCTGACAATATGCCTGCTAAGAGGAAAAATGCTAATATGCACTCAATACAGAAAGTCCAACAGATCTCCAAAATAGGAATATGTGGCTCAATGTATTTAGGATGGCTGAAGAAAGGGTTTTACATTGCATGCTAAGTTTTCAGTAAGAAAGTCTATAAAATGAACAAGAGAGTTGCACTGAGACACTTGCATCATATCAGTCTCTCCCTACAGTTTTAAATAGATGGGAATATAAAGGTCTTTCTTCCTCCCTGTTTGCATAGAATTCTACTTCCTTACAAGTTTCGTAATAATAAACAGTTTCTGTAATCAATTTTGTAATAAGCCCAAACAACTTCTATTGACTGTCCTGCATTAGGACAATTCCTGTGTTTCGATCCATGAAAGCAGTCTTCCCCTTTTTATAAGCTAGAGCTCATTGTATGTAAAAAATGAAAACCAGGATGTTTCAGGCATTTTTCTAAACTTTGCTAAAATACTTAAATCCTTATTTCAGGAAGGTTTAGCTCAACAGCTAAAAACAAAGAGAATGTATTACTGAAGGAGAATGTAAGCATATGGTTGGTAAAACATTATTTTAATAAGACTGTTAACCTTGTAATCAATTCCAAATTTGCTGGCCAGTCTACTGTAGGGCCTCAAGCATGCTTCAGAACAGAGACTAAAATAAAGAAAAATGATAGTCTAATTTGTAGATACATCAGCATCAACTTTCCAATTCAAAACATTGGATATTTAAAGAATCATTCCATTTTGGGATGCAGAACAGATTCACAACATTTAAGTGAAATCTTATCACAGCAGTGATATTTCCAATTGTCACTATACCTTGCATCAAGCTGTAATCGTGTCTTTACTAGCCAAATGGGATTAGTTGTTGTGATCGCAGTAAAACCTAAAATATTTAAAAAGAAAAGTTAGACGTGATAGTATCACAAGAGCAACTGCATCTAAGTTCGAAACGCACAGAGTAAGGTACAGTGGATGCAAAAACTCGGACTATACTGATTTTTAGAAAGTACCCATTGTAGCCCTTTACTGATATTTTATGAATCCATACAGCCAATAAATATTTAGCTTATTTAATTTTACATTAATGTTGAGTAAGTTTGATTCTTAGCAAGAGACGCCCCATATAAAATAAGCCCAATTGTGTACATTTCTCTGCCTACCTAATCATACCAACCCTGTTTTGACACCACAGAACAGCAAAGCTAGCTAGACTAATATTAGCCAATTTGGCAAACATGTCAATAAGAATGCATTGCGGATACAGCTATAGCAATTTGAGATGGTATAAAACATTGTGTCAATTTAATTTGCTACCTGAAATACAATCCGAGTTTAAAAGCATGCAGACTGAATAAATACTACTTTAGGTGCAGTTAAAAGGCATGTATTACTGTAAGTTAAGAGACCTTTTAATACTGAACTATAAAGAGCAGTTAAATTTGAGTGCTAAAGTTTTATTTAGTATTCAAAGCAGCGACTGTTGGTTGGCCTAGGAATACTTTTACAAGCATATGAGTGTTTAAATTGTTAAAGTAAATAGTATGTCTTCTAACTATCCAGACAGACAGCAACTATTCAGGCTTGCATAAGGGCTAAGGGTTAAAGCTTTGATTTTCAGTCCACTAAAGAAAAAGAAAAGGAAGAAAGAGAAAAGGAAACAAATTAAAAAAAAAGAAAGAAAAGAAGTAAGAATCACTCTTACTTCTGCACAACCGTGGAGAGAAAAAGAGCAGAGTGAAAGGCAGCTCTGAAAAAAAAAGTAAAATAAAAGACCATCTAGAGTTGTAATACCACACATGCACCATTAATGAGGTGTCATGTCTGCAGGAGAGAAGAGGAAGAGGGAAGAGCTGGAACATGGCCAGGCAAGAGATGATAAATTTAGACACTTGCTTTCTAAGTGACACACATCACTTGTATATCACTACAAAGACATGCTGCCCTCCTGCAAGGGAATGGACTGGGGTTGTGGGAAAGCAACAAAGAGTTACCTTGTTCAGTGCATATCTGGTGCACAATACTTATACAACGAACAGGCTATTGATAAGCTTGTTTATGGAGATCATTAACAGCTTACATATATATATATATTTAGCAGAACTGCTTGCATACATGTTACTTCTGTTCAATCACAATCCAGGTTTACATTGCACACAAATGACTGCAATACTCAGAGAAATGCCAGGGGATCTTAACTGTTTTAAGGTTTGTTCTACCCCACTCCCAAATATTAAATAGGTCATTATGATTTTCAGTTACAGTTCTAAAGACAAACTACACAGTTTAGCAGCTACTAAGATTTAGCTATATTTCTGTGCCAAAATAGCAAAACCACGTTACAGATTTCAGTTTAATCTTTTGATTAAATAGATTTTTAAACTGACTCAAACCTCTTAACTAACTTCCTGTGGCAGATAACAAAGGTTTGGGGTTGGCTTTTTTTTTTTGGATACACTACTCATTTTTTTCTATGACTAGGTACATATGTAGCCCTTCATGTGATGGAGTAAAATGCTAACAAGCCAGAAGTGTTTTATATCTACATTTCATGTAGGTAAATAATTATGTAAAAACTCAAAGCATCAGTAAACTACTCTGCCATAACAAGGCACGGATGTTTTTAAAACATACAGCATCTGCAAAAAAGGTTCTGTAGTTCAACTAGCCACAGCCCCTCTGACCTGTCACTTAATGCCATAGAAACTCCAGATTCCAACAGCACTTGACCCTGGGTGGAACTAAACTGAAAGGAAACATTGTTCTTGCATTTTTTATTTGTTTATGCTAGCACTAAGAAAGCTTTAATTTTCTTTTACTTCAAATCAGAATCCTTCCATATCTATAGTGCAGTGAAGGGCACTAGGAACACACAGGACTGCAACAAAGGCTTTGAAATAAGATGGGGAAAAATTACTAACTTCCCCTACCAATACATTTTCCAGGAAAGACTTCTCTCTACAAAACAAAATTAGTTCTTAAGTCCCTCCTAGTTCTTAAGTACAAGTGAACAAGACCAAGAAATCTTTTGCATTCCTATTTAAGTTGCATGCTTTGGAATTTTGTTACTGCTAGGCTGCATGTTACAAGCATTATCTGCTCAGCCCTTTCTCCTTCCTATTCAGCCCAAAACCACAGGCTCTGTAGATCCTGAATCGGGAACAGGAAGCACACAGGTGAGATCAGAGGCAGCGTCTGCGCGGCAGCAGTGACTGTATTCACCCACAGCAGCAGCCTGGTACTTCTAGGCAGGCTGGGAAGAGTATATTGGGAATTGCCAGTGAAGGGTGGTTGGCACAGGACGCAGCCTATTCTGTCCGAACTTGTACTTCCTGGGTTGCTCTGAACATTATTTAAGCATAGCACCCCGAACAGTAGGATCAGACGCTTAGCACCATAGCCAATTTTTTCCCCTAGGGCTGTCATAAGCCTAAATTGCATGACAGTTCAAACCAAAGCTTTCAAATCAAAGAGCCTTCAGTGAAGGGTGGTTGGCACAGGATGCAGCCTATTCTGTCCGAACTTGTACTTCCTGGGTTGCTCTGAACATTATTTAAGCATAGCACCCCGAACAGTAGGATCAGACGCTTAGCACCATAGCCAATTTTTTCCCCTAGGGCTGTCATAAGCCTAAATTGCATGACAGTTCAAACCAAAGCTTTCAAATCAAAGAGCCTTCAATAATTCAGGTTTCAAGATGAAACTACTACAGCTCAATTCTTACAGGTAATGTAGTAAATACAGTTAGTGGAAGAAGAAAAATAAATTAAGAGTTGAGTGATGCTGACGCCAAGGAAAGCACTCCAAAACACAAAACATACCATTTCGGATCTTTGATAAGACAAGCTTTTCTTTTTAAATACAGAAAATCTGTAGCAAAAGGACTTGTTAAAAAATAAAGGTGGGGGGCTTTCAACAACTAGTATGAAGCTCTATCAATTGTTTCATTTTTCTTTTTTTTCTTTTTTAGAAGTCTCAGTGAACTTTATAATGCTTTACAATGCTTATCAACATGTTGTATCCTCAAGAAAGATTCTGGATTCCTTAGAAGTGTAGATCAATTTGGCAATACCAGAAACTCCTGTACTTCTCTATGTTTTATTTTCTTCTATGAAATTGTATCCCACTTTCAGACAGAAAGAATTATCTCAATCTACTTTTTCAGCTATACCAGCTACTGACAGGTAAGATCCCAGGTATTCCTATTATGCATAGTATTTCAAAGGTTAGAGTTTTTTTTTAAATCTATAAGCCAATGTAATTGATACAGACGCATGTGAATATGGAATGCTGAATTAAAAATCCAAAGTAGTAAAATAAAAACAAACCAAAAGAGAAAACAAAGAGACAGAAAGGAGATTACATACATATTAAAAAAGAAAAAGAAAAGAGGTCTTTGAAATAAATGTGACAACACAATATCAGCTGCAGCATTTTAAAGGCAGCTCTGGGGCACTGGAAAAAAAAAAAAGCCTTGTTTAACCCAATAGGGACTTTCAATTAGCCAGAGCTAAGTAAAGTAGCAGCTATCAGTGAAAGGTATTTTCCACCTTTCCCTGAACTGCACAGAAAAAAATAACTCTTAACAGAGTTAAGGAGAAGTGATGTCTTTGCACAATGCACATCATCTGAGTTCAAGATAATGAAAGTGAATTCCCCTTATTTTGTTTATTTAATAGATATTACAAACCCAACGTGTGGTTCTTACACTAGAGGCTGCAAGAGACGCTCAGTTCAGTACTCACGAGGTTTAAGTTAGTCCATATTTCTGCAGGAAGTGACCTGCGGATGGGGAGCATGAGATGACACGATCTCACTCTTTTCACGGGAGAAATGTACAGTAAATGCCTAAAATAGACACAGGCTTTTCTGTATCATAACAACAAGCAGTGACCTCATCAGACACACGTGTACAAATCGAATCCCATTGGAAGGATTTGTGAATTAGTTATCGTGAGATCTAACTGTTTTCAGGTAAAAGTTTAGGAAAAAAAGACAGAAAAATAATCAGAACAGGCCACAGATATTAAAATAGTTGTGTAAAATGCACTGAGTACTGAAATTTCTGCTCATTTGCAGCAGTTCAATTTTATATCTCCAAATACTTACCTATATATCAAATTTACAAGTGAACCCTCCTCCTTCCCCACTCCGTCCCAAATATCATTCAAAAAAGCTAGCCTTGTCTTAGGACTGAAAAAGCAAGATAGATGCCTTATGAAATCAAACTTTCTAGTGTCAGTAATCAATGAACTAAATATGCATTTTATTTGGTATTAAGTAGCTGTGTACATACTACTAAAAAATTACAAAAGTAATAAAGTGGTCCCAATTTTTTTTTTAATAAATTAAAAAATAATCTACATTTGGGTTGGTTTGCCAGTAGAGTTCTAGAAAGAACAGCAATAGCATACAAGGCAAAGTAGTTTTGCAGCAGATTTGCAACCATGTTGTCTGAATGAGGCTATGAATCATTAAAAAGGCAAATCAGAAAGCCATACAGGAATTCAGTATCTCATTCAGTTTTCTCCAGTTTTTACTCTGTGGCAAAAGAGGTTGAATAAGTGCAATGAGAAGGCAGAGTTTGCAGTGAATCTAAGAATTTAGCCTGACTTTGAAATGTACAGAGATAAACTATCTTCACACAAGCAAACGCTCTCATTCTTGTAGTACGCTTCAGATATATTCACTGTCCAAGTTTGCGAAAAGAGAACCATGTGATATGCCGAGTAGTAAGCAAAAAAGATTGCCGAGTACTTCTTCATGTCAATACAAAGATATTTTAGGTATGAAGGTGATGTGAATTATATGCTGGAAGCTAGCACGCAGCAAGAGAAAAACATTAATTTCTAATTGCATAAGGCATCGGTTATAATATGTAGCGTAATTCATCCTCCTTGGGATAAAACAAACTTACTAAAAGAATATTAATAAAACCAAAAATATATGTTTTATCTTGAGAAGGAAGAATCAGGCCTAAAAACAACAAAAAAACTGCTTAAAATACCATACCTCAGCTTCTCACTCCCAAAAATGCCATGTGCATAAAATAATCCTTATTTAACAATGACATCAGTCTAGCCTGAGATACTTATGTATTAACATATGATACAAGTAAACAGTATTTAAAGTTGACTAAAGTTCACTACTTACAGTACTTTCTTAAAACAGTAAGTTACAGATTTTTTTTTTAAATTGTATTTTTGCATCATTTTTGTATTTTGCAACCTACAGGAAAAGCTTTGGAAGTGCAAACACCACCTCATGCTCCTTAGGTATTAGAAGCCTTTATGCAACAGAAAGGTCATATCCAAACAAAAAACCCCCCTCATTTAAGTCTGAATTACTCAATTCCTTACTGAAACCAATGGCAGCTGCAAAAGAAAAAACCAATACTGATTATTTTTTGCTAATTATTAGAAGCGTTTATCTACCTTGCCAATTTTGAAATCTTAAGTTCCAAAGCAAATATTATAGTGATCTTCTGTGTTAACCTGTTTAAGTCAACCAATTAAGAGCTCACATTTGATCTTGTCCCTGTTATTTTGCCATTTCCTTAAGTTGATTTGCATCATATAGCAATACAAACCTTGCAGGTAAAACTGTTAATAGCTGGTTTAAGTGCATTTTCTGAAATATATTAGAATTACAAAAACAAGGTTAGCATATTCCCAAGAAAGTACTGTTAATTTTAACTGCAGTCCTTTTCATATAAATCAGAATAGCGCCAGTACTGAGTATCAAGAAATCATTTGTCAAAGAACCTTCTTTTAAAGGTCTTCCAGAGAATGTCTGTAGTACACAGTGCCAAGACATTTCAGGAGAGAAAGTTAGTTGTGACCTGTAGTGTGAACCCGCGCTGGGCATTCAGTTTCATTGGCTATATGGTTTAGAAATACAACTGCAGAACTAGGTAAGTGTGAGAAAGGTCCCAGCCACAAAAGTTGTTCGATATTAAAACTTGTATACAGATGTAAAAAAAGGTGAACAGCAATTACGGCTCAAATACATTTACCCCAGTCTCCTGCAGTCGTAAGTACAAATGCGTAATACCAACCTTCTGGAAGGGAAGCAAGTTAATAAGCAGATACAGAACTCCTTGACAAACTACAGTCTGTGTCTGCAAGCACTTGGGAAAAGTCACTACAGCGCACCTGCATAAATGTTCTTTTCATTACAGAATGAGGGCAGTAACTTCCAAAGATAGGGAACACCGAACCTTCATTTGTCTGCAGCACTGCATGAGTTACACAAGTTGTCTTCAATTGAGGATAGACTTGTTTCTATTACCCATACTCCCCCCCACCCCAAATTTAAAGACATGTTTTATCCCCTTGACAAAGAGCTGAAGACAATTCATTTTTCTTGGAGCAATTAACTGATTAGGATGAACTTTTCATGAAATCCCCTTCCATCCCATTCCCCATGCTGTTCACCTACAAACAAACCACACATTTCCAGGTGATAAAAAAATACTGCGTCACCTGAGCACCTTATTTTGCCCATCTAAGACAAAACAGTTCTCCTTACATCTCTAAGAAGATTAAAAACTGACATCGCATTTCTCATGTGCTAGAGATGAGCGTTAGTATGTTATTTAAGTACAAAGCTAATGTAACTTAAATTTTCTATGCTATGTAATGATTTCTTTGTATCAGATTATTAGCAAGTATTAAATAGAAAACTAATCCTATTCATTATTCTGACATCACCTTTGGCAGTCCATTCCAGATTGCTATTACTCACATTATGTACAGTGGTTGTAAAATTTGACAGGAATTAGAAACTTCAACAGGCTACCATAAAATTGTCAGAATTCATCTGTGAAGTGTCTATGGCCTATACAGAAAAAAAACTTTTGAAAATTTGCTTTTGTGTAGGAAAGACACAGGCAACAATAGGTAAAGTGTTGCCAGCCCAAGTTTTGATTTCCCCAGCACAAGTCCATGACCATAACTCAGTTCAGTTGCCTTTAACTCCCCTTGTTAATGATACCAAAGCACAGAACATACAAATCAAGCAACAAATATTGGTAGCTGCTAAAATATACCAAAGTTACACTGCTGATATAAAATAGGAATTTATTTCCAGAGATCAAAGTATATGAAAACTACAGAAATCTGCTCTTCTATGTCACTTTAGTGGTAGAGCAAACTTCACAGACTGGTATTTGAACAAAGGAGGAGGGAGCGTTACATATACAAGTATCTGCAGACGTTTTTCAGAAAGACAAAAATAAGTTAGATATACAAAGCTGTAACAGAAAGTCATGGTAAAAAAACCAGATTAAGCAGCATTAAACCAGAGTTCAGTGCAAACAAGGTTGTTCATAGCTTGCAGAGCAAAAAGTTACTCTTTTGGAAGTTTTCATTTTACATTTCACAAATTTACAACTGAAAAAGCAGGCATGCAAGTTTTCCTAGAAAAGACTATTCACACACACAGTTAAAGATCTTCATTAACACTAAGTACAAAGTTTCATGCACATATTCACCAGATAGCTTGTTTAATGAGAGGCCAAAGAAGGTAACCACTACAAAAAGAGATCGTTCAATCACTGAACATTTTCTGTTTTGTTTCGTTTTCTCCACATTTATTGCCACCTCTCATTTGTAGATATGGCTCTAGAATGAAGCTAAAAAGTTACAGATCCTTACCTGCCACACCAGCTGAAATCATGTGTACCTGGGTAGAATCTGGATTGAAAATATTGTTCAACTTTTCCTTGCAGTTTGAGTAAGCAGCAAAATATATGGCTCTAAAATTAGAACAAAATCCAAGTTATGTTACATTTTATGTGTTGATACCCTTATGAGCGGTGCCATTAACTTCACTAACTCAAGATGATCTTGGTTCAAGTCTTGCTTCCTCAGTAAAAAACTACTCAAGGAATAACTCTTGCAAAGTAGCACGACTATTCTAGGAATGGTAAAGAAAAAAAACAAATCATACTTTACAACCTTTTCTTCCACAACAGCTCCAATTAACAATTAGTGAGGGGAAGGATAGATAATTAGAAATATGGCGGTGATTTTTGTGACACTAGGAAGTTTAGCCAGGGAAACAAAACACTGCTGAACTAAGAACTGAAGTTACAGTATTCTGTATTTCTTTAATAAGAGATCACATTTATTCTAATGGACCTAAACTCATTTCAACAGCATCATAATTTCAAGAGAACTAGCAAGTATCTAGCATTTTTTTAGAAAACCAAACAGCACACCTAATATTTATATTATTCTAGCATTTAAGATGTAAATATTGATAACTTGTGGTTATACTTTATAACTTGTAGTTATAAATATTTATATTTTACATGCTAAAACAGCTGTGAAGCTGGGATCCGCATTTTGTTTCTCTAGTTCTGTATTTGGAATAGACCAATTTTTTTCCCTGAATACACTACCAAAAAATTTGTAAACTTGTAACTACATTCAAGTCTGAGCTGCTATCAAAACAAAGCTAGACATAAAAGCATGCCAATGCAATATATTATGAAAAATGCCTGTTTTCACTCATTAAAACAAAAAAAAAATCTTTTTAAGCACATCTAAACCTCATGTTTAAGGTTGTAACCCAGTTTTTTTTTAAACTTAGACACCCCTCTACAAGAGAAAAAATGAACATGCAAGTTTTCATGAACAGAACATTAACCTCATTAGCTGTGCAAACATGTTTTTCTTTATTATAAAAAAAGATAAAATGCTTTCTTCATGGGTGTAATTTCTAAAATGGAATCTGAACTCAGTTAAGTATACTGGATGTGTTATGAAACATGCTTCTCTACAGCTTATTTAAACAAAGAGCTGCTGTTAAATCCACTTAGCTAATGCTTAATTGAAACGAAGTACTGGATGAAGACTGAGTCAGCTGGAGGGGAATGAGGATGTGCTTATTTGTAAGACTTCACACATTATCCCAAGTTGACATTTTTAGTATGGGGCGGGGGGGGAGGACGACAAGCTAAGTATTTCACATGGGGGAAGAAGGGAAGGGAATTAGAAGATTTAATGAGCTTTTTGCAGTTGAGGATATTTTTCATTGAGGATAGTCCCTTATAAAATGGAATCCATTGCTGTATAAAAATTGCTGTTAAAAAGGTAGTATCAACGTTGAACATTCAGACCAGACTGGACTATCAAACAAAAGTACAGGCTCTTCAGATTAGGAAGTGCTGATACCCCACAGGTGTCAAGAACAAAGAAAGCTACTAGAATTACTTCAGCTTCTCCAAACAGCAATGCTAAGTCAGTGATCAGAAAATACCTAATTCCTTAAAAAGTCTGCTAAAATAAAAGCACTCCAATTCCTGAATTATGTTTTTCTTATTCATGCAGACGATCTACAGAACACCACCTCATCTGTCAGATCAAGACGACAGATCAATGCTGAATGGGAAGTCCAGTTTAATAAAATTTTCCAGAAGCAGCCAAAGACCTTAAACCAGAAAAGTTAAGATACTCTCCAGCTGGGTGTGCAGGAGACAGGAATGTCTTCTCTTCAGACAAAAAAAAAAAAATAAAAGCAAGCAGGGCACTAAGTCAAGGGAAGAATAAAACCTTTGTGGAATATATTCCCTCTGCATAAACACTCTTCTCTTAAACAGAATAGAAGGGAATAAAAATGGGCCAGAAAACAACTATAGCCTCATCCAGGAATAAGTAGTTATATTAGTTTTACACAGCTTTGTTTCTATACTCTTCCTTAGGTATTCTCCTATTTTTGGACTGAACTTAGGCTAACACTTGTACGTAAGGATCAATTCAGCCTGGCATAATCTGTACCTCACTGACTGCCAGCACCAGCCGAGTAGCTAGAGTATTTGTACTGATGCAGAGCAACTGACAGCAGCAATACCACTGCCAATTAGACCAGATTTACACCCTCGTTCGCTGCACTCTGACACTGCCCCAGTACCCTTTGGAGTCCAGCCCACTGCTGGATCTGCTTTCTCTGGGACAGCTGTTAAGTGGGTCATCCTACCCAGTCTTGTCCTTTTTGAAGTTTCAGAACAGCCCTCCTACTGCGGGGGGACAGTAGCCTGTGCTTCACCAGAATTCAGGAAGAAAGACCCAGCGTTTTGAGGCCACAGTCACACAATTGCTTCCTGAAGATTATGGATTAACTGAAAACTAAATCTACCTTTATTTTCAAAGGTACAAACTTCTTGTTTACATGTGCAACTCCTTAAGCATATTCCTTCTTAACTGGACAAAACTCTGCATAAGGGATAGTACACAACAGTAAATACTATTACAGTAGCATATAGGATAGTAAATGCTGAGACAGTTGGTGCAGGGATGCGGGACTGGAGCTGCGGAGTACATGAGTAGCTCAATTTCTCAGACAATGAAATTACCCCAGGAACCAAAGGTTATTTGCTATTAAGTATTTACAACTGCAGATGCAAAACTCTCTTCAAATAAACCTTAAATCCCTTACATAATGTACAGCAACCTAAATTTCATCAAAATTATTTCATTTACTGTACACATTTGTATTTACCTGGAAGGAGCAACGCCTACTAAATTAGGACCCAGCCCTCTGAACAGAGAACGAGGACCTTCCTTTTGCAAGATCATCCTAGAAAACAAAAAAACGGCAATACTGTAACATTCACATCAAAATTAAGGAATGCACTTACCACCATAACTACATCATTTTAAGCTTCACTCTGTGTAAAACTTTCATAATAACTGACAATGCAGTGCTAACCACAAAAAATTAGTCATTTCCTAGAATCAGCATAAAAAAATTCCACTATTGCTTGGCATACCACAGAAATCCAGGAACTAAATGCAGAAGTAAAGCCTTATGATGTCCATACAGACTTACCTCAAAGATAGGAACACATACATACATGGAGTTATCTGTCATTAGGAAGTTAAAGAAAGTGTCCTTTTATCAGGGAGAAAATACTAAGCATGGAAACGTTCACATTCCTGTAGGTTGTAGATTGTTCAGGAGACAAAAATATTTGATTCTATTCTACATCCCTTTCATCACTCTTTAGCTCCCAATGTTTGGGAACTTTTTTTGGGGGGAGGGACAGGGGATGAAGGGCAAGAGAGGAGGAGAGGAGAAAGACTTACGAAGGTTCAGTTACAGCAAGTCATATGCCTTCTGAGAAGAGCTCAGGAAGATGTTAGCTCTACTGCTTATCATGCCCAGCCAGAGATATCTTCTGCAATCTGTTATCCACTATTCTCAAAAAGACAGAAACCTCAACATGGCTTTGCATGTGCTACCCTGGTTTGATCCTACACAACTCCCAACAGCACACTAAGTTACATGTCAGAAGTTAGAGGAAAGCAGCCTTTCAGATACAAAGCCCCGCCTTCCCCATCCCTGTAAATGATTTAAATCCACTAAGCATTCAACTAGGAACCCATTCTTAGCTTTATTCTTTCTGTAAGATACGGTGATTATTTTGACTACAGTAAAAGGACATGGAAACCTCCGATGTGCAAAGTGGCCCTTCCTCGAGGCTGGCAGGGATTCCCTCCTATCAGTTCTGAACGGCTGCCTGTGTGCTACTACCCAAGCACTGCTGCTGGGCTGTGGAGCCAGCGGTTTTTCCTTTTCAGCTCTTTCCAGAAAAGACAATCCTCACCTCCTCATGCAAGGTAACTCACTTAAGTTTGAGATTAACTGAAAAAGGAATGTAACCCATGCAAAGAGTACCAGGCACAATACAGCCCTAACATCTTGTGGTACCAGGTCCACTATAAACGCAGCTCTGGAAAGACTGCTTGGGTAGCAGGGGGGTGTCACCTCCCATCTTTGTGGGATTTACAGAGAAACAGAGATACGAGCAGTGAATTGAGACCTCAAATGAGGCATTACTAGTACTTAAGTGTTTGGAATACCGATCCCATGTAACTGTGGTTTTAAGAAAGAGTTGAAAATCACTATGCAGCAAGGTACACTGGCACAGTAAGAGGATATCCATTAATACTCAGTTTTAATGAAATCAATCTGTCCAACAATCTAGATGTTAATCAGATATGGTATTTTTATAAAGTGTGGTAGGACATGGGAGGAGAAACAAGGACTATCTGCATCCCATCACTGCAAATTGCTCTAGCAATTGCTTTAGAACCAGGTTTAAAGTTAAGAATTAACTACTTCACTAGATGTTGCAAAACAGAACTCTGTGCTTATTGATTTATAAACACTGGCCAATACACACAAATAGTTCTCCTGTATATTTCTTCTTCAAAAGAGACATGCAGGTTAATGACAAGTCAATTACTCAATAAAGCAAACTACCCTTCTATAAATGGCTAGTTTGCTTGGAATTTATTATCAGAACAAACAGGTGAAAGCCATCTATAGCACTGAAGGAGATTCCAAACCTATTCTGATTTCCAGCAGCTGATTCACCACAGTTCTGCTGCTAAATCAAACTGAAAGTTTACATTTGTTTTCAGTAAGCAAAAATAAAATGGTGGTTCTGCAGAGTCACCATCCCTATTTAGGAATGCTGGCATAGAATTATCCAGCAACATCTTAGCTTCATGTCCGTAAGAATTAGATATGATTTCACTACATGGGTAGCGTTGCTGCACAGTAATAATTGAAGTATTGAACGCATACTCAAAAGCACTTTGGAAATACAAATTACTTAGACATGTCTGTCATCCTGAAAACATTTCTAACACTTATGGAAGGAATTATTAAAAAAAAAATCTTACCATATTCCAGAGCTCAGCATGGGCACAGCATCAGATTACAGCAAAGCTGAACCCAATTAACATGATCTGTGTCCACTTAAAACACTACTTAAAAATCACTATCACCACAACATCATGTGTTACACATGTATATATGCACATATAACATATGCATGTATATGAAGCAGCAGGAACCTCAGTGTCTTAAGAGAAACTTAGGCGTGAAGTGTACCAGGTCTGTTTGTTTCTTCTGGATCTACAATATCCCAAGACTTGACAGAGCAACAAAGGGTTAAAAAGAGGTTGCAGCAGACAGGATTATAATGGTGGTAGTTACTGATGCTCTTCTGCATTCACAGACACCAGCTGGAGGAGTTCCAGAGCCTACACTGAAAAATAAGACACCAACTTTTTGCATTAAAGAGCAGATTCCAGAGCTCGCACTGTTTTGAAAACAGTAAATAGCAAATCCATGGTTGGAAGAGCAGCACAAGTGCTCCATATGGCCTCAGCTGACCTGCTTATGTCACATGGGGAAGCCTGCACTGGGAGGCAGGCAGGTCAGATTTCCATTATCAAGACCTCAGGTTTAAACTCAGCAAGGTTAGCTACGAGAGGCATCCGCAACATGATATACACCAGATATTTAAGAATAAGGGAATTCGCTTTTGTTGCCAGAGAATGCAGTCACCTGTACCAGTTCTTCAATGTTTGTTTCCTGACAGACATGCCTTTGAAGTCACCTCTGTTGACACTTAAGATGCAGAAGTGATTCCACAGCAGTCAGTTAATGGAAATTCTGACATTATTTGCCTGATTCACCCTGCTTTTAGACTGAGTATTATGAGCCTTGGAGCACTGCACCAAATTTGGTATGAGAAGAGACAACCAAACCCTGAAAATATCAAGTGACAGTAAAGGTGTCAGTAAAGAGTGACAGAGGGATCCAGTTTGATTGCCTCACTAAACAGCCCTAGTCCCTTAACTAAGAATAATTATGTCCTGCACCTATGTATTTTTACTGTCATAGTCCATTGCCATGTCATTTGGGATTTTTTCATATTTGCTCTATTTAAAGAATCTAAAACCCAGAAAAGTTACTTGGCATCTCAGTTGTTTGATACTGACCTGGAAGAAAACACATCTAAGCAAAGAACAAAAGCAGCAAGAGAGACATATTCTTGTATCACAGATAAACAAACAACATGTCTAAGAAGCAGAATTTAAAAAAAAAAACAACCACAAAACAAACAAGCCCTACCAATGAAGTTAATCATGGACTACCTCTACCTATAAACAAACAACATTTCTAAGAAGCAGAATTTAAAAAAAAAAAACCAACCACAAAACAAACAAGCCCTACCAATGAAGTTCATCATGGACTACCTCTACCTCAGTCTGAATTTGCTTCCTGGGAAGACCAAGCTATTTTAGGTTTTAGGGATGGGTTTAAAGCAAAGCAGGCTTCTAGCAGAGGGGCATACGAAACAAACATCTATTCATCCTGCTATTCATTCAGATACATTTCTAAACAGAAGATAAATTCATAACCAAACATTCAGGGAAGAAGCTGAAGGGCTCAACTTCCATCAAGAGAAGCCAATAAGGCAAGCGTTTTGGATAGAGCTCTCCTTCCTTGTCACAATTTGAGCCCTTCCTTCCCACATACCTGTTCCCAACATGTTCATCCATCAGACTCTTATACGTAAAAAGGCTCTGAATCAAAACTTCCATGGTAAGAACTATCTTCCATTCAAGGACCTATTTGGGTACAACCTCCATTTAAGCAAATCCTATCCTCTAACCAGATTAAGTCTAAATCCTACACTGCAACTGCCAGAAGGGGCTCTCTACAAACTACTTCTCACTGATTAATTGGGGATAGAAGATAACTGGTCTGAGTCTTATCAAATTCTTTCTAATGCAAGAAGCAGTAGCAGGTCCTTTCTGGAGGAAAACTCCCCTCATTCCCAAATACCAAAGGCACCTCCCCATAACCAGCTAGCTTGAGTCCCCCAGAGTGAAATAAACCCTGCCTGCGGTCTGTACTAGCAGTTTAACCGTGGCCATACAACTTTCCTGCTGGCTACTGAACATCACAAGCACTGGTGGCAAGGAGAGGAAAGGCAATCCCCGTTCAGTGAGGTGCTATGCAAACAAAATGTCCCAGATCATGGCAAAATCTGGCCTTATGTATCTCTTACTAGCTTTAAAAGCGTTACTAGTCACATATCCAGCAGAAGATACCAAAAGGCAAGGAAGGGTATGGAGTGGTGAAAGTTGAGAGAGACTAAGAAACTGAGTTAATTTTCATAGGGCTTCTTGCCTCCATATTCAGCAACATCTATGATTTGGACACAGAACACAGTTTAAAAAGTCTTATACTAACACTTTTTCAGGATGAAAATAGAGTCTGGCACTTAAGCGTTACAGTACTCCCAGTGAGTTCTGGGGACAGAGTTTGGAGCTGTGAATTGTACAGGGTATACATGCTCTGGCTAATTCAAGGTACAAACTCAAGCATGACGGACATTCGGAAAAGTGGAATGTGAAACTTAATTACAGATAAAAGGCAAAATATGGAAAGTCATCTCATGGTAGCATCATGACAGACGTAAGTCTTAATCTTTCATATGGATTTGTCCAACACACCTCCCTCCTCCTCCCTCCCCAAAATGAACCAAAAACCTAGTAACATGTAGACTCACTTCAAACAATGGAGAGGTCCAGGAGAAACTCTAGTTACTCGATTGACGCTAGCACCATTCACAGTGTTGAGATGGACTTCAGAGATGTAGAGAGTCACAGAGGAGGACTGCAATCGTGTTTTCACAACTTCCAGTGGACATGTCAGAATTGCACCAACAGTACCTCCACATCTGCAAAAAGAAATAGGATCATCACATTCTTAACTGCAAAGAAAGTGAAGCACACATTCACATACAATTAACATTATGCTCAACACAGTCAAACTGCAAAAGGTGAAGGAACAACTGGAACATGCATGACAATGCTGCAGTTACTTGCCCTTGAAGGCAAGCAAACTGTTAAGTCAGTTTGTTAACTCCACAACTTGGAGTGAAAATTTAAACAGACAAAAATGAAGTTTCCCAAAGTAGTGAAGGTGCACAGTCTTCAGTACATGCTGTTCAAATCAGTTCTGGAAAGTAGCTCAGTATCTGAAATGTTTAACTTCTTATGGTAAATTTTAACTTTTTTTGAATGTTTAGTGCACTCCTGACCACAAACAAGGTGCCAAAAATACTTAAGGGTAGAAAAGATTTATGCACTATGCACACAGGGCTACATGTAAAAACTAACTGTGGTATGGCAATTTAATAAAATTAAAATATTTATGAAGACATCTTCAAAACCCCATTTGTATTTTGGGCATTGTACCATGAAAGCAACGATTCTCTGAGTGTTTCCTGAGTTCTGCCCGTTACAGCAAGACAGACTAGATACCGTTGAGTAGAACTTGGGAAGACAAAAGAGCTTTAAGTGGCTAACCAGGTGAAGACTTGCAGGTTTTGCTTCAGTCTGCCACTTGTTTCCATGAGCAAGCCAAGGCAAGCCGTGCATGACTTGTGCTGACAGTGGAGTTACTCCCATTCTGACAGAGCAGAACACAGCCAAGAACATACTGCCTTTTAGCAGCTCTGCTCAGAGAATTCTTCTGGTGCTTGTTCATAACCGATTTATTAATATCTACATTCCTATCTGTTTAGCTACGATCACATACGGCCTGTGAGAGAAAAAATATCAAATCCACAAGTTCTGATTCCAAAGACAACTCCAAATTCCTTGGCGTTACCATTACAAGAAAAGTGCTTCTCTTGAACCTTCCCTGAGATCAGTATTCTTCACTTTGCCAAATACCCTTCTTAAAACTATGACCAGGACACTATATGCAGCCTTTAAAAAAAAAACCCACCACCAAGCAAAAACAAAAAGCCCCCAACAAAACAAAAAAACAAACCCAGATATGAATTAGGGTATTAATTAATGCTACCAACAACTCAGTCTGAAATCCACTAACACAGAAATACAATTCATACTAAATTCAAAGGGCCCAGCATTCACTTCTCCGACACAATAACTAGAGCTGGTGATTCCAACAAGATAGTTACCAGGAGCATTTCAAACACCCCTAAAACCTTTAAAAAGCTGTAAGACTCGTTCAATAGTATTTTTGAAATAATGTCTTCCAAAACACAAAGGAGAGTTCAGTACAAATTAGGAGTAACAGCTAAGACTCAAGATCTCCTATAAACTTCCATAGGAAGGTTGCTTTTAGTCTGTTGAATCTCTTCTACTGCAGAGAATACCAGAAATAATGGTAGTTGTTAGCACAGCACTGCATCCTAAAAAACTAATCTGTTTGTATGAATTGAACTGACAATACCAAACAGCGGCAAAGTAGGATAATGTCTGATGATGTTCATTTAACACTGTTTAAACCTAGTGACCTAGAGGTATCCTATTACTAAGCCTAAAGGCATCTTGTCCCACCCCTAACTCCAACATCAGACTGAATTCTACTCTTCAAGTTTAAATTGAGGAAAGAAATCAAGTTTCTTTGTCAGTCTGGATAAAGTGTTCTCACAGGAAGATGGAAGACAGTCTTCCAGTGTGTGCTGTACACATGCAGTAACAGACTGATGCAGCTTTCAGAGTAGCATGTTTAAAACACCTCTGAATGAGCAATTCACTTGCTTACTCTTCTAATGGTAAGCCACAAATAGACTTTTTAAAATAAGAGTTGCAGGAAGAGACAGACTAGATGTGCTGATATTTATTTTAGCCAGTGTTGGAAGCAGTAGGAGCCTGTAACACGTTAAGGTTCATGACATGAATACCACATGAGAACCACAGGTAGGCCAGCCCTCAAAACCTGACGCAGAGCTTTAGAGCTTGAGCATCTTCTAGCCAGACAGCAAGTGACTGTGTTTCCTGCAGTTCAACAGCAGACACTGCTGTACGGTAATGTGCCTGTGCAGGCAATGTAGGAAGTTGGCTTTAGAGTTTATTTCCTTTCTTGCAACCCCTCTGTTTCTGACCCCCTCGAGCCTACTCTCTTTAAGATCTTTCTGCATTTGATTTTGGACAGGTTACATGAGGACTTGTTTTCAAGTAACAGCAAGAGAAAGCACGTGGTATGGTTTGTATTAATGAGGTAAATACTATGGAAGGGAGAAGAAAGGAGGAAGAAAAAACTTGGCCCGCATTCTTCAACAGGGCTCGGAATTAGGAGCCTTTAATGCTACTGGCTCCACAGCTATGTCGCACTGGAAAAATTTTCCAAAGTTGAAGATTAACACTGACCTGGAGCTTGTATCCTGCATGATCCCCTGCACCACACCCAAATCACCACAAGGGATGCCTGACTGCAACAGCACTTCTGTCAGACATTCACTGTGGATAGGTTAGAAATACTTCATTCAGAAATGGATTACTAGATTACTAGGGAAGAGGGCAGACATACAGCTACTCAATGCTTTTTCTTTTTAAGTCTGCCTACACCAAGCATTGTTCAGTGATAACCAGCTGATTTAACAGCAGCCAGCACGATTTTTACATGCATCATAAGGAAGCAGCAGACCACCCGCCTCCCTTTAAGAACTGTGCACCCTTTACTTGCACCACACTCTGCCATTCAAGCAATTTCAAATAATCAGCCTTCTCTGCAGTTTCTTACTGTTGGGTGGTTTGTTGGGTTTTTTTTGTTTGGTTTTTTTTTTTCTTTAAACAGTTTAAGATGTCTCAACTGAACCTGAGAATATTTTGAATGTTTTCCACTAACTATTGACAGTTTGGATTAAAATTCTTCTCTGTCCCCTTATCTTCAAGATCTCAAATTGCTACTTACAAATGAAGAGAGCAGAGAAAGTTTTATAGTGCTATGTGGTTCTGTATTGCTCACAAACAAGTCTGCAAAATACCCAATTTCTACTTCTGTCAAAATGTAATACCTCACTCTCCCAGCCCTCAAAAAGCCCCATATAATAGAGAAGGAGTGAAAGAAAACATCCCCAAATGTTGAGGAACCAGATCTTGCTCAGTAGTCACAAGATCCACTGAGTTTGAACTGAACCACTAAATGAAAGCATAATCCAGGAACTACACCGATTTATCTAGTTCACTTGAACTTTAAGATAAACACTGCAAGGCTTGACAAAAATCTGTTTATGAGAAACCGTCAGTAAACATAGTTTGTAGGTAAACAAACAAGAGAGACAATTCAGTAACTATGCACCCTGTACAAATAAGCAACTTCTAAGCAGCATACCAGCTGTTCTGTCACCAGCATCAATGACAGTGTATTTTACTTAGAAATATATTTCCGGCCTTGCTTATTTAACACACTACTAGAAATACTGTGAAAGAGACAGCTACTTCTTTGTGCTCCAAGTCCTGGCAGGCCATTGACAGCCAGCCACCAGCTCCAGCTTCGCAAAAAAGTGTTCTATAAATTGCCAGTAGACTGCCGCCACCATTCCTGCTACCCTACCCACCGGCTCAAATTAAGGGGAGTTTTTTTAGTTTGTGGCTTAACACAAATTAGGGAGTAGCACAGTTTGGAAAAACATTTTTTAAGACTTAGAAAATTATCAGATTTCTTCTCCTCAATAACACAGGTGGGATTTTGTAAACTACTTAAGAAATTTCTACTACCTAAAACCACTCTGGGCTTCAGCATCTCCAGTCATGTACTAGCCCCCAACAACTGTGACTTGTGAGAACACTTACTGATGGGTAACTTCTTCTCCAGGATCAGATGAGTTTCAACTGGTAGAATGAGTAGGTAAGCAGATACACTCCTCTGAGAGTATAAACTGGAAGTGAAGAAGGGCAAAACCCAAGACACTCCTGTGTCTGAATGTTTACAGCAGTTTCTAATGAGTGCTGTTCAGAAGACCACTTGCTCATCTTACCTATCCTGAATTTGACATTTGCCTCTAATCAATGTTTACTACAAGCCTTTTTCAGCTTTGCCAAGCAAGTATAAGAAAGACTTGCAAAGCTGACTTTCATCAGAAACACCTGATCATACAAGGCCATGAGAATCCACCTGTAGGCCCCAAGTAATTTGAAGGGCAGAAGAGCAAAGATCAGTAAGTAAATCCACAAAAACAAACACACAGGTAAAAAAGGAAGATTAAAATCCCACTACTATTAACACAGTCAAGTTAGAGAGTTAAGTCTGCAGCTTAAACTGTACAAGAAGGCACAAGAGACATTGCACTCAGTGAAACAGAGACCTGTAGTTATCATCCAACCTGCAGGATTGTGACAAACTTAAAACTACAACAGTAAAACTAAGAACAGTTGTCTGCTTGACATCTCTTGGACAGAAGAATCTAGGAAGATGGCAATGCTCTCCTAAACTGCAGCTTATTCCAGAGAGCACCCATGAAAGGAAAAACCCCAACATTTAATTTGATCTCTAATGTGCATTTAGAAGTCCATCACCTCACTGGATTAACAGAAACAAACCTGGAACTATTTGGGCTTTAAACTCTGCTAGCAATTCAATACAGATACAGACAACCATTTTCCTCAGATAAACCTGTATTATTTGTGAGACACTGCAAGGAAAGAAATATGCACATGCTTCAAAAACCTAATCCTGTTTGGCATTCAAATCCCAGGTTCTATTTCCAGAGATGGCTGCACAAGAAAACCTTCTTTTATTATTGCAAGTGGAGGGTATCTGCTAAGGAATCACTGCCTTTGTCCAGAGTAGTTGAGTATCTTCTACTGTTACCTTACACCCCTGCAAGTAAAAGCAGAGACAGCTCCAGCATGGACATGGGTCTCAACTTCAGCCACTGGACTGTCCATAAATGCTCCAAAGCAGATTAATATTCCAATGCCAGTGTCAGCTGACATAGAATTGAAACTGTCAGTGCAAGAATTTTTTTATTCCTTCAGATAATTATGTATTTTATACAAATAAAAGACGAGGCTGCATAGTGCTTGTCTCAGATTCACCTTTCACAGTATTTGTAACCACAGCCTCAAAGACTCAAAGATAACCCTTGACCCTGTTATCTCGGGTCTACATTAATTCATGTATTTTACCAGCTGTTTCTCTTTCCTGTATGAAAATGAAAGTTCCATGCAAATACTGGTCGCAAAGAGAAACAGCAAGAAAATTGAGCTCAAAACTCTGTCAAAAGAAACAAAACCCAAGCCACTTGCCAACAGAACTCCTTCTAATCTCTTCACCAGTTACTGCAAATTCAGGTCCCAAATCTATCAGCAATTTCATAGAGCAGTCTTACAACACGAGTAACTCACATCAACAGATAAAGTTGCAGGTTTGGATATTAAGTTTACAGTATCCCTCTTTTTTGAGGGTATTTAAGGGCTTTAGCAAGCACAACTTTCAGAAACAGCAAGAATGTATCTCATTAATCCCGAATTTTCAGGGTTTTCCTGTTACCATACTGCTAGACTTGTGTATTATACACCTTTCCATCTTTAGTATTAATATGATGACTAGGAGTACTGGCAGCCAAAAACCCTTAACCCCTTTATTCACCCATTAAGTTTCCTTACTGAAACTTAGAAAGTGTAAGTTAAGCTAACATCCTTAAACTAAAAATACTAATCAAACTTGCTATTTCTAATTAACAGTGTAAAAACATAAAATTCCCCTGATGTGCTGACATATAGAAACCTACA